CAACAGGTTTAGCATGGAGAATAGCTTTGTGATTTACATTGCCTGGAAGAAATGAAGGGGACAGGAGTTCAAGTCCTGCAAGTTGCAAAAAATCACTTGCATTAATCATCAGAATTGAAGTGTTTTAAGATTCACATATGATTATTTTTTTTTTTAATCATTTAGTGATTGTTTTAATTCAGTGAGGGGAGACATTTTACATGACCCAAAATTCTGAGTTCAGAATTATAATGAATTAACTTCAAGTTTTAGTAAAGTTAATGATTTACGTGCTTGCTTTTTGTTTGCTTTGGTTTGTTTAAATCATAATCGTGTGTACACGGGCTTTTCTGGTAATTTTTCTTTTTTTTTTTTTTTTTTTTGATAGGAAAAACAATGTCATTTTTGTAGGATTAAATTTAATAGCTCAGCTAGCAAAAGTTTAAATTGACATCCAAAAAGGCAATCCATGTCTACAAGCTTAAAGTGCATAGCTTAGTCCTGCTGACTCTTCCTTCAAAGAAGGCAGCAGTAGCTGCAGTATCTTGAGTGAAGAAAAAGAAAAAACAAAAAAAACACAGCCTAAAGAGACCAGAACCAACATAAGGCTGAATAAAAGAAAAGCAATTAATGTCAAGATGATGGGACTAAACTTCAAGAATTTAAGTAACTATTATACATTTTAAAACTAAAGATAGATGTACTGCATGAATTAGATACACCAGCTGAATACTAACTGCTCTAAATCACCCTGTTATATTAATTTTGTACTGACATTTCCAGAGTTGTAAGAAACAAGATACAACACTAGTTGGTAAGACAAAATGTAGTTCTGAGCCTTTAAAATAGGCATGCTATACTGATCCAAAGATTTGCTTGTAGAAATACAATGGACTTGAGAACTCCTAATGCAACAAGGATTTTGTTTCGATGAGTGGGCATATGCAGACCTTAGACTGCTAGAAATTACATAACACTGAAGACTCAGTTAAGCAACTTACATAATAAAAATCTACGACAGCTTTAAGAAAGATGGTTTTCAGCAAGACACCTTATTAGCCAAACCATCAAATACAAGTTTATTTTCAATTGAAAACTGTTCCTACATTAGTAATAAGACTGTTCAAGACCAAATCAAGAATTCAGGGCTCAGAGTATGATTATTTTTTTTTTCCCATTATAAATTTGAGAAAGCATAAACCACACTACATAATCAGAGACTGACTTAGACCTCATTGATATTAGAAAAGCCTTCCTGCACAAACATTTTTTTTAAACATTAACCTAAAGCAAATTACCTGCACTTTCTACTTGCATTTTATTACTATTATTTTGCAACAGCATAGAACTTGAAGCATACCATTATTAGGAACATTAACATGAACAATAGCATTCTCCAAGTCTACTCCCCTGAAAAATCTAATTGTAGCAGCAAAGCAAATACATTCCTGGCACCTAAGCCTTGCTTTTTATCCTGTACTTAAAACCCTGGTTTTGCCAGCAGGCTATACTAACATTAAAACTAAACATAATCAGTGTTAAAAAAAAAAAAAAAAAAAAAAAAGGTTTAAAGATGTGTCAAGATTTAAATAAGGCAGATGTCTTTTCAAAGCATAAGGAAAAAAAATGTTCTGTTATACTGTACTACATGTAACCTAAGAGACAATTAAAATCCTAGGCCCCAGCAATATTTGCTAGCTATGTGAAGAGCACGCATGTCTCTACAGCACCAAGCAGCTTCTTGTATAAAGCCAAATCTACGTGACAACTGTAAAACCTCCATAAATAATATTGTCCTATTTTCTTCTGTTTGGTATTTTGAACACTGAATGGCCTCTCTCCTCTTTGGAAATAAGTAACGCAGCATTAAAATGCAACATTTTGAAGTGCTAATTGGCTTAAATCTCATCTTCGCTTCTGAAGTCATTTACTGAGCTATAATTTTCTGAAGTATTTACAGCATCCATATACATGTATTTCACCCAAAACTAATTCCAGGAAAAGTCATATATCCCATATACTGTTAGAAGGTGTAACAACATACTTAGATATTATTATAATGTCATAAAATGATAAAATAATCAGTTAAGATAAACAGTGCTGCTTTAAAAAAAAAAAATAATTGTGATGAAAATATCCTTATACGTCTTTTCAAAACTCAAGAGGACAGCATTTCTCGTTACTCATTTGATATTCACAGCACAGCAATATATAGGAATTGCAATAACTATATCAATACTCACAGCTACAGCCTGGCAGAATTCTGTTTGAGTATCTCACATAACTTCATTTGTTTAATGAAGTTTCAAGATGGGTAAAATAAATTTTATTATGTAAAGCCTTCCAATGGTAGAGCGTGTTAACAATGCCTGGATTTCAAACACATTCCTTTGAAAGCAGCGATCCTCATATATGTTAACAGAATGAATCAAGTAACCTGTACATTAATTTTTCATTTAGTAAGCCTTTAAACTAAATGGCACTACAAAGCAGTTGGTAATTGAGAAATCTATAATGCCCAGATACATAATTATAAACATGTTTAATAACCTCATTTATTAACAATGCTTAATTCATAATCAGAAAGGGGATTCAACCAGAAACATTAGAAGTAACACTGCTTCTAGAAGTGGAATCCTGACTTTAAAAAGACATTGACTCTAATCACCAAGCTCTCAGTACATACCAAATGGATTCTTAGTGCCTGGCTAGTAAGGGGTAAGGAGAAAAAAAACAAAAACAAAAACAAAAAACAAACAAAAAAAAAAAAACTTGTATTTAGAGCACTACTGTGTAATTACTTCAATTAATTGTTATAACTTCTGCCACTGACTTCTCATGTTGAAAATACTTGTAAATCTTGAAGTTTGCTATGTTTTTATTCATACAAGCTTACAACAAAAATATGCTTAACAACAATACAAGATACACACCAAAGTCATCTGTCATCCAGGCTCATTTGCCATGACCAACAGGAAGAAATAGCAAGCTTAAAAGTACAGAGACGTACAAAATTTTAAGTAAGAATGAAAAGCACCAGAGGTTTTCTCAAACTACTGTAACCAGAAGGGAAGAAAGAGAGAGGATATAATAATGGAATGAATAGGCTCTAAATACCTGTCAAATCTGCATTTTGTCTTTCCCATTTTATTTTATAATGAAATGCTGTAACAAAAGCAAGAAACGAAAGCAAAGTAGCTTGGAATGAGCATACACTATCCACCTTCAAAAACAGGAGCACAGATTTGACAGTGAAGTAAAAAGGATGCTGATGAAAAAAAGGTAAAATGAATAGCTTCCAATTACCTACAATTATAACAACCAATAGGGAGAAATCTTACTACTACAGAGGGAAAAACACAGCTGTCTTCCTTTCTGTAACATATCTACTATGAGGAAGAGGAGAATAATGACGGATCTTACTGAACCTTTGTGGATTTTAGCACCATTGCCAAACACAGCATATTACATATTTTTCTGGTAGATAAAAAATTTTAAGCCATTTTAGTGCAAAAATGGCTGCACACAGAGCAGTTACAAAGTTAAGTAAATGTACCTGTTTGTTAGGGCACAATAAAAAATTAAAGCCTTTTAATAATACTTGATTAGATACTAATTGAAATGGAAAGGTCCATCTGCTTCATAAATGTGAAGAGTTCACACAAAAATGTGATGATATGAGAGTACACAAAGGATGTGAACTTAAAGCATAAAAAATACTGAACGTCTTGACTTTCAGATTAAAATATAAGTTGGCCAAATATACTAAACACAAGCCATTTAATGGTTTTGAGATGTATTCAAAGACCTCAAAAGTATTTTTTCTTAACAGCTGATATTCCAGCTTAATGAATTTCAGGTTTTGCAGTCCTGGATATGCAACACTGAAAAGACAGATATGACTACTGAACTCACACATCTCAGTATTAAGTTAGGTGCTTCATTTTACATAGAGAGCATAAGCATTTTATTTGAACTGTTACATGTACTGTCCGTTACATAATTTCACAAGTATACAAAATCCTTTCAAAATCAGTGCTACAAGCTGAAGCTATTTCCTTCACAAACAGACAATTTAACGTGTTACTCAGAACTCAAAATCATATCTAAAAGCAGCAGAAATTTAACATATGGTTTGCATGAGTGGTCCCTAGTCAGAGATTGTCTCAGTGTTTTTCCATTTCCATATCACACACTAAACACTGCAAAATCAGTCTTAAAGTTTTTAATGTAGTCTTTCATTATGCCTTTTCCAGCACCTACTATAAAAATAAACTGTCTACAACACAGAACTTCAGTACAGGTTGCATATTTAAATCGAGTACTGTATCTAGTCCAGTATCTCATATTCAAATCCCCTTTCTCATTACCCTCCTGCCCCCATTACACAGACTTACACCAATTTCTCAAGTTTTTGCTATACTTCACTAGCTTATTACCCAGCTGTGCAGCTGAGCAAGAAGATAACCACATTCATTCCTTTTATCCGTAATGATGTAATACATCCCACCACTGGGTTGAGATGATTGAGGAATAATGGGATTGTAAAAACTGCAGAGATGACAAACAACAGTGCAGCCTTCTTTTCCTGATACAGTCAATTGCATAAATACAGCACAGGGTGAAAATAATAAAATATGCCCTAATTCTGCTCCTTGAGTGAAGTTACCATTTTTCATAAGGAGCAGCTGTTCCTACACAAAAACATCATCATCACAATGCAGCAACTAGACGAAATACCCGCAATCTAGGCTTCAACCCTGATTTCAATAAATATATGTTGGAGTTTACTTTCTAATAATAACAAAAAGAAATCATCCCCAAAAAAACAACTCAGTATAATCAAGAAGCCTCCAGATAGTGCAGTGCAATGCAAAGAGTCATCAGGGACTAGCATTAAATACAAAAATAGATCTTGGACCAAAGGATGCACTGCTCTGTTTTCCTATGAAAAAAAAAAATAAATCTGCGTCCATTTTCTTCTTAAAATCCTTCCTTATTACAATCAAAGAGATCCTTACCTTCTGCAGGAGCTGGGAACCTGAGTACTTGGCTGCAATAGATTTGATCTCCCCACCAAATGCTGAGGCCCAGAGCTTTACACTGTGAGGGGGGGAAAAAGAAAAAAAAAAAAAAAAAAAAAAACAAGACAGGAAGAAATGTAATACACATGTCATAGCAAGCAACACAGACTGTGGCAGCTTCAGCTGCACTCATAAGGATTCAAGCAATTTTGCATTAAAGAGCTCAAAGGAACCTAGTCACAGCAAAAGATTAGCAGAGCTGTTCAAGTACAAGCACACGGCAGATGCTGTGCCAAGGTAAGGCCTGCAATACGGAACCACCTAACCTGCGCTTTTAAAAATTAAAGTCAACTTGTACAGAGGCATGCTTTTGTACAATATAATCTATGCCCACAGAAAGAAGAGGAGCAGGTAGAACAGCACACCAGTTTCGAATGACAACTTCTCGCATGAGTTAAGATAATATCAACTACGCTAAATAGAAGCATTTAAGGTAACACTCCACAGCCATGTATTCCACTAACACATGCACTAGAATAAAATTTAAGTACTGCCATGCGTGTTAAAGACTATGATTTCAGAAACAGCTGACAGAGGAGCAAAGGTGCCTTGAACAGTCAAATACCTGCAATTGATAAATAAAAATAAAATACGAACTCGAGCAGGCAAGTTCTCATTCTTGACCATGGTCCTGAGAGAAATAACATGAAAAGACTTACACAGACAAGGGGATCTGCTGCTCCGATCCAACCACATCCACTAAGGCTGTGTTAAAAGCAGTCCAGAAGATAAAGAGAAGACCCCAAAAAGCCCGAAGAAGATTCAAGTTCTCTAGCATTGTGTCTCCCTACGCCTGAAAAAATGTGGGGAAATTCAAGTGAATCTGAACGTAGCAGCTGTGGGGTTTTGCTTCTGAAGCCTCTTTCCCCACCCTTGCCCCCTCCACCAGAGCGCCACTGGAAGAAATCACAGCTCCATTCTCATCCCTCCCAAGAATGACCCTCTCTGTGTAATGGAAGGAGAGGACCAGAAGCGAGGCTCTAATGACTTGAAAACTATTGTGTCCCTGGTAACAGCAAAGCGTTCTCCAGCACTACTGCAGCCACTTGCACGTAGTTCTTTACAACTCCGCAGTCAGCAGCGTGCCGGAGTTACTTCAGCGACCTGCTATTGCTCCAAAGTGCCCTCAGCAGCAAGCGAGCAGCTCTCGATTCCAGCCGGGGGCGGCTGTCTTCTCGCGGGTCCCGCTCACTTGGCGGCAGGGCAGGCTGCCTAAAGGTCTCCTCTCCCTCGCCGGCAGCCCGCAGCCTCCAGCCCGGCCGGAGCGAGCCCAGGCATTGGGCCGGCGGTGCGGGAGCAGCAGCCTTTTAACGGGATGGCGCCGAGGCAGAGGCAGGGACGGGAGGAGCCGCCCCGGCGGGAGGGTGCCTCCGCACGGCGGCAGCGGACCGAGGATGCTGCCGGGAGCCGGCTCCTCCGGGACGGAGCGCTGCACATCGCCGGGGGGGGCTGCGGAGCCCGAGGAGGCCCCGCCGAGCCCGGCCCCGGCTCCCTCCCCGCTCGCCCAGGGCTGGGCGCGAGCCGCGGCTCGGCGAAGGAAAAGAACAAAATGCAGCAGGAGCGAAGCGGTGCGGGCTGAGCGGCGGGAGCCTCGCAACGGGGGCGCGATCTGCGCTCGCCGGAGCCCCTTGCCGGAGAGAAGAGCGGCTTCCGAGCCCCGCCAGGGCAGCGTGGGGAGCCGGAGGGCTTGGCCCAGGTATTTGGGTTGTTGGTGCGACTGGGAGCCTTCCCTCCCTCCCTCCTTTTGCTTTTGTTTCTCGCCCTCAGCTCCCTTCTCACCTTCTCCACCAAAGGCACAGACTTAAAAATAGCGGTTGAACTTTAATGGAAATAAGCGTGGCAAGACCTGAGGATGAGCTGAGCCCGGGCTGAGTCATCCTTGCATCACCCGGTGCAGCTCCGCGGCCGCTCTGGAGGGCTTGTTTCTTCCCTCTCGGGCTGGAATTAAAACCCCCAGAACATAGACCCTGCCTTTGTGTACCATACTTGTTTAACGGTTGCTGTCGTGAAGCTAGATATGCAATACTTTCCCCCCTTCCTTCCCCCCCATTACCATTTCTAAGAGCACCGAACAGTTTGCTTTAAGATACCAAAAATCTCCGATTAACACCTGGCTGATGAAAGCTTTCTGCTTCCTCAAACACAGCTGGAAGTTCAAAGTCAGAAAGACCGGCTTAGGTAAACTGTATAGAACAAGAGCGGCATAGCGCATCGCACCTCTCATCACACACCAGCCATCGCCCAGGGATAGCCGATATATTCCTGCCCATAACACCACCTTTATTTGAAGGCAATGAAGGAATTTGTGAGAAGGGATGCTGGTTCTGTTTTGTGCATTATTTAACTGCTCAAGACCATGCTGTTACTGTGGATTTTCTAAACAGAGTTTTAAATATGCTGCCATGTCACCAGGTGTTCAGCCTACCTACAGGCAGAACTGTAAAAATGCACATGGCTGACTAACCATATATAATGAATTACATGCTCCTTTGAACATATTACATAAACACTACCATTTTCAGAACTCGGAAGGAAATAGCGGAAACTGAGGTAAACTGCCTCACTAATCGTGCTGTTTTTTTTTTTGTTTGTTTGTTTGTTTTTGGTGGGGGGGTTGTTTGTTTGTTTGTTTGTTTAAAAAAAAAAAAAACATTTTCAAAAACACATCAGGATAGAGAATTGTAATACTAACTTGTAGGACTCAAGCTTCATTTTTCCATTAACACAGATCTTCACCTGTTTCAGTTAAGTCAGCACACAGTTCACTGATGACAAGTAACAGCTAGCTTCATTCTTCAAGGTATTATCAGAAGCCCTGGAAACTTCCTGAAGCACATACAATGTGTATATGTTCAATAGCCCAAGAAATTTAACATATATTAAAACCACCACTAATTACTATGAAAAGATGACAATCACTTGTCCAAACTTGACTATTTATTTGACACTCACTATCGTACCAGATTCACATTTTATACCTTTTTCATATATAACTGGTCAGTTAGATTCATTTAGTATAAAAATCTTATTTCTACTATCATTAGTCTCAGAAAAAAAAAATAAAATACTGATACTCCCAGCACAAGACCAGCAACCACATTTGGCATTAACAGACATCTGCATGCCTTATACTGTAGTGTCCTCTCTGCATCTTGCATTAACACACACCAATAGGTTCATGAAGTTACTTGGTTCTTTTCAATAGGGCTTTCCACTCACTGACTGTGCTGTAGCAGTGGTTTAACACACATGCACGTATAAGCTTCTAGAAGCTTCCCATCACAAGAGAAGAGGGCTGGCATCATGTCTTGGCCCAACTACCACTGGCTATGCCTGGAATGCAGATCACTGCAGGCAAGACATCAGGTCCAAAACCAATGTTACGGTTTCCACCACTACCACACTGTCCTCATGAGGTAGATGCAGAAACTTTCCCTAAAGTGGGCTTACATGAGGACCAAGGAAAATAAATAGAAAAGTGTTAAGTTTGGCCAAAAGGTTTGAATCCTTTATAATGGGCAGATAGTAGTGTGCATCATTATTAATGCACAACCTTGTGATGTTCTGGAACAAAGTCATAAAAAAAAAAAACTAAGTTTCAGAGAAGCTAAATAACGAAGTTAGATTTTGGAAGTAATGTAGCATTTCTATCACACACTTATGTTTTTATAGATCAAGATTCTTCCAGATTTAGCTGTTAAGTGCTGGTCCCACTAGAAAAACGTGCATACAGATAACTGATCAGAGAAGTGATGCTCCTAGAACTGTAGCGGCCTCTCAGCACTAAGTGTTAGAAAGTTATTTACATGGCAGCGGCCTCAGAAGCATACAAGTGTATGCTCATACAAGTGTACTAACTTGGATCCTCCCCCAGCCCCTGTTTTTAAAATACAAAACATCTCATCTAATCGCCTGCTCTGTCTGATGATCAAGTATAATGGCACATTTTATTATCTCAGAAAATGAAAGAATCCACTTCCTTTGTGAAAGCAGAAAAATTTGGACACAAGTTAAAAAATTTGGACATAAGTTAACAACTAAGTGTTGCAATAGAAAAGTCACAGGCATGGTCAGAAAGCTGATGAATCTCCAGAGCTTTTGCAGTGTGCCACATTCAGAAAAACAAACAAGGGACTGAAGAAAAAGGAGGGAAAGACAGGTCAAGTGCAAAGGGTAACGTGAGATTTAACACAAAGGCTGAGGCAGGACACAGATGAAGGGAAAGTCCAGCAGATAGACACAGCATAACTTCGCCTAACAATTCCCATTGTTTTCCTCTATCTACCTACAGATATATTTAAACTGATAGAAGGGTGCATGGATAGGGTCATAATCACACCGGTGTACTTTGAGGTCTTTGATTAGACACATATCAAGTCCTAATAAAAAAAATCAATGGAGAGATTAAGAGAGGGGAGAACATATGTTGCATGGGAGAAGAGTAGGAGGATACGATATAATTAACACGAATGTTTATTGTATTTTTTTCGGATGCTTATCTACAATTGTTTAATCTAAAGAGAAAAATAAATGCAGAAGGCTAAAGTGCTAAAAGCCCTGCTGAAGATGCAAGTCGCTTCCACAAAAAGTTTATTAATAAAGGTAGGGAGGAGGGAATATGTCAGTTTAGCTATATTCCACATATCAGAAAATTCAGATACTGCAAAAATAGATAAGTCTTAGCTACACTGCACATTGTGGCATTATTAATTGCTTTGTACTGTATTACTCAGTGGTTCTACGCACAAAGCTTTAAATCTTCAACTGTGTTCCCCATGGTGCCTTTTTTGTTTGGACTAAGAGATGAAGATGACCCCCACACACATACATCTTCTTTGAGATGTTTTTCCAAAATGATGACCCTTTGAACAGAGGAAGTGGGAAGTACAGGGAGGAAAAAAGGAGGAAGTGAAATATTAAGTTAATTGTATGAGGGAGCTATATGTCCTATGCTGAAAAATTTTCCAGCCTTTAACCTGTATGCCACTTTTCCCTTATTTCTCTAAGTATGTTTTATATAGACATACATGGAAAATAAAGACAGAGGTAGAGGGATAACAAATGACATTTCAGCTTCACAAAGCACTTTGAGATTGTCAGATAAAAGGCAAAATCTGAATGCTCAGGATTTATTTAGAAACAACCCAGTGGTAGAAGGATTCATCAAATAGTGTTTGCATGCAGTGAGAACACAGGTTTCCTTGTTTCAAGTGAGCTGTATATCAGAGAGTACGAGGCTGCATTAGACCTATTCTGTAGAGGCTTAACATATGTACATGTATTCTTTGAATTTTATGAAGGTCCCATGTGTATAAATCTAAGTGTTTCATTAGTCAATAAGGAGGCATTCCCATACCATTTCTAAGCCACTTACGACAAAGGTTGAGGTCAAGTAACATTACTCAGTGGATTAAATTATCACAATTCCACATAATGCACCATAATGCACATGAGCTAGCAACTTGTGAAAATAAAAATGCTACAGAATTTCTAAGCTACATCAGTATTTTGTAAGCAAGTTTGTTGTGTCATCATCTGGTTTGCATATACTGTTTAGGTCCAATATTTCAGTTCACAAGAATATTAATGATATATGCAGCCTGTTTTTACAGATACAATCTGTTACATGCAGACTTGAAAAATCCTAATACATACAATTAATAAGTAGCATTTTAGGCTACTGCCATGTTATCTTCAGCACACTTCGACACCAAATAAACCTCACAGTTTGCCATAAACCCTCAGGGCATGCATGGTTAATTTAGCTTCTACAAAGCTTATGGCTTCAGCATCTCCACAAGGAGTTAAAATGTAAAAGAGCAAAGCATTATCACATCCCAGCCTATGAGAGCTCACACTGCATGGTAAGCTAGAATGCTTTAAGCTAATGGTGTTTATAGCTAACCAAATCCAATTTCAGCAGTCCACTGTAGCTCTAGTCTGTTCATGCCATTTTACATAAGCTTTGTTTATTTTGAATTTTCTACTATTAAGACAAAATCTACATTTGGTTTCTTTTGAGTGTCAAGCTAGGAAATGAACTTCTCACTAAGCAAATAAATTACCTTTTTACTCCCAAGGCTAGTGCTAGGTTGTAAACATTAATGCTTTCAATGCATTCAAAATACGTCAAGACTGAAGACAGGACTCAAAAATGAGAAACTATAATTGAGGACTCTAACATAATGGAGAGAACACTATGGAAACAAACAAAATGAGCATTTTTTCCTCTGCAAATACAAATGAAGTGTAAAGGCCAGAACATATTTGAGTGCTAATTACTACCGTCTATACACTAGAATGAAGCCCCTAGTCACATCTATAATGGTTTGTCAAAGTTCATCTGAACCTTGAAAATTCCTCTGACAAGGGTCCCCAGGATTGACTTGAAACCCAAAAAACAGACTTCAAAAGGTAAGGAAAAGCATTGCTCTTGAGATCTTTGCATTAGTAGGGACACAGACACTGGATGCCAAAAATGAAGTATTTAATTGTGGAGATGACTCGTTAGAAACCTGCCCAGAACCGAAAGGAAGTAGTACTGAGCAGACTCTCAGGGAGAGCTTCTTTTGCATTGATTGCTGAAGTCTCATCTGTTGACCTGTCGTGTCTTCAGGGAGGTTAAGTTTCCAACCATACAAATGAATGCAACCTGCAAACTTTACACTAACATTTTCAAAATACTGCTTTTACTCTGAAGTTGAAAGCAGCATGGCTTTTGGTCCACAAGAAAGCG